GACTTGAACCCAACTTCTTATTATCATGGTGCACCGAGACTTTACTCGATGTCTTACTCCCTTGGTGCGGTGAAACTTGAATTCACCGTCTTACCCTCAATCAACGTCTTAATAAACCAAATGCATTATCAAAAAAAATAATATTGAATTCCATAAATATAATTGAATTTGACTTAAAAATGAACAAAAACTAGTTAATTAGAACAACATGTTGGAACCATATAAAAATCCCAAGTTAAAATAAATTAAAACATTTTAATAGTCCCTCTCAATATAGTTATGAAGATTATCATAATTTTCTAACCATTTTAAAATAACCACAAAATAAGCTTTGTTAGTACAAATAATACATAGGATATGAAGTATACCTTGCAGCCAAAGAACTTCTAGGATAATTCATATAAATCAAGAAATACCTATCATTGATTTTTGACGGAGAATGAGCAATTCGTGCTGATAACGTGTTGTAAAACTTAAGAACAAAAGAACAACATAAAGATGAAGACAAGAAGAATATAAGACAAGAGGAACAATATGAGATACCTTTCTTTCTTTCAAGTGTACACCAAATCTTCAAGTCTCTACAATATGAACCCTTATGCCTCTATTTATAGTGTAACATAGAGACATACAAAAGGTTAGTCATAAACATGACATTAACATGAATATAATGGGGAGGTTATGGAAGTGAAAGGTTACAAGAATAATGGTTATAAAGGTGGAGGTTATGGAGATTATGGTTATCTTCATAATGGAGGAAAGTAATGGAGTAACTTCTTGATATAGTGGACATCCACAATATATTATTTTATAACAGTTCCCACTTTAAAATACCAATTATTTGTTACTACATTTTTTCTACATAATATATCAGAGACAAAAAAAATTGCGTTCAGAGAAAAAAATATCGGATATTGAAAAATTATGTCTTTTTAAAAAAAATTACATAAATAATGCTATATTTCATAATAATTAACAATTTAAATATCAAAAAGTTATATAAAAAAAATTAATTGACTCTCAAAATTTTATTGATATCACATAAAATGAGTTAGATGATAAATATATATATATACTGTTTGAAAATGACGAAAAAAATATATAAATCACAATAGTTAACTATTATAAAAAAAATTAAAAGTTATATAAAAAAATTCAATAGACTTCCGAAATTTTATTGGTACCACATAAAATGGGTTAGATGATAAACATATATAGTTTGAAAATGACGTAAAAAGAATTATAAATCACAATAGTTAACAATTTTTAAAAAAAAACACATATTAAAAAAACAATTGACTCTAAAAAATTCTATGAATGTCACATAAATTGGGACATGAAAAGTAACATATATATTATTTCAAAATTACGTTAAAAGTTACTATAAATTACAATTTAATATACGTAAAAGACATATAAAAGAGTGATTAATTTTAAAATTCTATATATGCCACATAAATTGGAACAAAGAAAGTACAATATATTATTTTTAAAATTATGTAAAAAAAAAATTAAAATCATATAAAAATCTGAATAACTTCTCAAATTACATAATATCACATAAATTGAAACGAAAAAATTAATAAATATTGGACCAGTGCTGACACGGGTCTTGTATCTAGTTAATTAAGAGAATACAACAAATTCTCTCACCTCGCAGCACCACATCGAGCAGCGCCGTCCCTCTCTCACCTAGCAGCGGCACCGGAAGTCGCAGCGGTACCACACGTCGTCATCGGTAGGGTTTTTTAATTTTCGAAAATCCTAAGTCCATTCTCCTGTGATTTCAGCACCGTGAGAACTTATTTTGTAGGATTAAATCTAGAGTTGAACGATAATTCCATTGAAATCTCTACATGAAGATTAATATTTGCTGATTGAACATCGTAAACTTGTTGTTACTTGAAATCTCAGTCAATAATAATACGTATTTGCTGATTAATGTGAAGTTTTTGCTTGGTTGCCATTCTGCAATCTCATAAGGAATATTTTCTCAATTTCTAATTTTAATACACATTTGTTGCATCTGATTAGGAGCAAGACGCACAGATTAGTAATTAATTTACAATTTTCTCTAATCCTCTATTTGTTGCTTTGATGTTACACGAACCTTTCATAAAGTTTATTGGAACAAGGATTTATTAGGCATTCAATTGGCATTGAATCTCCCGCAAGTTTTCATTTAACTATGAGGCAGTTGATCATGACTTAAAAAAGATTTTTATAACTGAATTTGCTTGCTGATATATTCAGCTAATGGGATTTGGATTTATTATTATCATCTTTATCTATAGTTTACTGTGTTTAATTGACTGCAACTTGTTGTTAATGTTACGGTATTGCATATATGCTCCACACTACTTTGCTATTAGTTCTTTTAATTAGTGTTTTGATTTGCTTGAGCCGAAGGTCATTCGGAAACAATCGATAATGGTGAGGTTTGCTTACACTCTACCCTCCTCAAACCCCACTTTGTGGGATTTCACTGGCTTTATTGTTGTTGTTGTTGGTCAAAGGTCTATTAACTCTCCAAAGATTTTCAAATTTCGAGTTAGCTTACATTGGTCATGCTTTTCTGTGTAAACCTTTCATTCAGGAGCTGTTTTGTCTGCCATTTTCAAGCGCTCTTATTGATTATATTCTATCATTATGGATGCTCCGAATGAACTGAGCTACAAACCACCCCCAGAATTTGAGGAGGTCAAAAGGGATTCACTTATCAATCTTAACATTGCAGACTCAACTGAGCTCTGGCTTATACAGTGGCCCTTTAATCAAGTAAGATTCATGAGAATTTATTGTTCTTCCACTTTTAGGATGCAATAAGGTGCATTCTTTTTTCCCCAATCATTCAAGTGACAATTGAAAATAATAACAGAACAAGTTCCTTTCAACATCTATGTATGTTAGTGTACAAAAGATGATATTCTTTTCTTACATTTTCATAGTCTCTAAGGAACATTCTCACATTATCATAGTCTGATGTACATTATTGTCTCTCTATTTCTTTATCTATGAGATCTTATTTACGTATTCAAAGAAAATACGAATTTCTTTCATCATACAACAACATACCTCATGCAATTCCACTAGTGGTTTAAATGAGGAGGGTGGTGTGTACGCAACCTTACTTCCGATAGATTCTCAACTCAAGTAAAGCATATAAAAAACAAGTATGTAAAGCAAATACAATTGCAAAGAAGTCATGCGGAAAACAATGAGAAGAGAACGGTAGCAATGCCAAAATAATACAATTATCGAAGAAAATGAAACATCAGGTAATACTAAATCGAAGAATAAGAGAGTAATAATAACAATACTAGAAATGGAACTAGACAAAGCTCGACCAATTAATCTTTTACTCTACCTCCATATCTTCCTATCTGGGGTCATGTCCTTGGTAAGTTACATCTGGTCCATGTCTTGTCTAACTACCGCTCCCCAAGACTTCTTCAACCTACCTCTCCTAACATCCACTATTGCCAACCTCTCACTCCTCACTGGGGCATATGCATCTTCTTTGCCTCTACCTCTCCTTACATCCACTATAGCCAACCTCTCACTCCCCACTAGGGCATTTGTGCATCTTCTCTTCTAGAGGATAATTTTATAATCCTTGAATTGATGTTTTGTTTGGAAAGTGAGAAAGGGAAAGGAATACAAAATGACAACGAAAGTGAGACAGTTTTTCTCTTCCTTCATAAATGCAGGGAGCAAATAGGAGATTTCAGGGTAGAAAATCAGATGCCATGGTCTCTAAGTGAACAGATTTTCTGTCTCTCTTTATTTCCTTTTCTGGGACAAGCCATGAAAAAAATTAACCATCCTTTCCTAGTTTCTAAAAAAGAGAGAGTTTACTTATGAGATTTACTATGATTTTGTACGGAATGAGAATGATTGTGCACTTGAGGTTGTAAATATATATTTTAGACCTTGTCACTTACAGTTCAGAGTTTTGACATTTCCAATTTGCTACTCCAGCATCCAGGTCTTGATGGGCAAGAAGTTTCGTTGAAGCTCCATCATGATGGGCATATGGGCAGCTTTGAGGATTCATCTGGCAAGTATAGTCTGAAGAAAAACATTTACATCTGATTGAGTTTTGTGCCCCACCTCAGCAGATCTAGTTTTCATAGCAGGCTTTTTAAAATATAACGAAAGATGCTTTTAATTTCTGAACGTCTTGCTCGATTGTTGCTTTTATAACAGGTAAATCATATGAAGTGGTCAATTGTAGAGCACAAGACCCAGATGCAGTGGTCTTTCTATCTTCTGAGTCTGAGCCAAAAATTGGTAACTCTTAGTTCCTTTGCATTTTGCTATCTATTTGTCTGCTTATTCACTCATGATCTTGCAACACTCAAAACGTGCAATTCTGCATGCTTCATAATCTTGCTGTACAAACCATTATGTTTGTACCATGCATTGTTGTCATGTGAATACTGAAGCTAATGTGACTCAATATCTTTGATGATTTCAATTTAATCTACTATGTCCACATATGGCATGCTCGTTTTGTTTGCATAGTGAGATTTTACTGCTCTCTCTTAGTTGTGCGGAACTTGCACATAATCCAACTACTAATGCTCTTCTGTTTATATTTTTGGTAGAACTTATTGTTATTCCTTAGCATAAGCCTCTATATGATCCAAATGCTGCTAATTTCCCATTCAAGCACAAAATTAAGGCGTTTGAGCAGATTTTGACAGTGATCTGTTTTCAAATTGTTCTAGTGAGCAATATAAAGAACTGTACAAGTCAACTATAAGATATTTGTGCCTAGATTGTACCTATGACTCCAGCTTTTATTTGTCAAGGAAATTGTTCTTGAGAGAGCACACACAGGAGTCGAGAGTGGACTGCATTCAAACAGTATAATCATATGTCAATTAGTGTCCACTTCTTCAAGACTCTCTCTGATGTTTAAGCATAATGTTTTGTTTTGCTTTTTGCACGAAGACTATCCTGTTTACGAAACTATACCATGATCCTTTTACTTTGAGATTCAACTCTTTCTCCCTCACTGTTATAATTGTTGAGCAGTGAACACCATGTGAGATGGTTTGTTGCACCAATTATGATGCTTTTGCATGTTTTGGCAGCTGGTAAAATTTCACGGCGTGTTTCCCTTATCCACTATCCGGAACCAAGTGAGCTGAAACAGAACAGTATAAACTTGAAGCAGATGATGGCTCAGAGATCGTCTGGTACTACATTGACCAATTCTTCTCGTCGCTTTGCAACTCCTAGTCAAAGTACTAGGACACGGAGTATTATGCGATCAGGGAGTTCATCCAAATCTACCATGAGAAAACATGGTGATGGCCACCCTGCAAAATCCAATGATCAATCTGTTCAAGATTCAGGCAGAAGTGGTCGTAGTGCATTGACCTCTTCAGGGTCCTTCGAGCACTCTCGAGATCAAAAATCAAAGAAGAAAAGGAAAACTGATGGTTGAAGTGCTGCCTCAAGTGTTCTAAATCGAATTGTTTTTGGTTAAAGAATCTCTTTCTAGCTGCTCTAGAGTGCGTTAACCATTCAGCCATGAACTCGAGCACGACATTAGTTCTCTCTTATGTTAGTTGTAGAACAAATGTATGAGGTTTTTGTGCCATAGCTTGTGTGCCTTGTTAACAATACATGGATTAGCATAGAATTGTCCTTTTAACACACCAAATCAAACTTTGGACAGGAAAAAATAGTTTCAACAATATTTTTGCAAGATTAGATTAAAAAAAAACAGCAATTAAAGATTATAGACCTCCCAAAAAAGGATAAAATATTGATTGAAAATATGAATATGTATATTTTAATGTAATAAAAAAAATTAATTAAAATTTTTATAATGGATATTTAAAATAGTTTCTCTATAAAATAATTTTGATATTAAAAGTACATTGATGTTTGTCTTTTTTCATAATTTGACTCTTGAAAAAGATTAGTCAAACATAATTTATTTATCAAAAGTACTTTTCAAATGAATTAGCCAAATAATTTTTATTTTATTTTTAAAAAAAAACAATTTTAAAAAAAATTAATTTAAAAAAACGCTTCTAAATTAAGCAGTTTGACTAGCAATGCCATACAAGACTCTAAAATATTTATTAAAAAAAGGGGAATGGGTTTTTAGATTTAAGGAAGAATCAACCCTTCAAACTTTTCAAATAAATTTAGGTGGTTAACGACTTTATGACATTTAATTAGTCAAAATGGACATAAATGATCTACTAAATGCGTAATTAATTGAGCAAGAGTAACAACAAAAGCACAAGTGGAGCAATTAATATTTATAAATACTACTTCCGTGCATTTTTATTTGTCACTGTCCGGCTTGATATATCCATTAAGAAAATAATTATTGATATTACCATACTATAGTATTGTTATTGTTAAAAGTGACAAGTAAAATGAAAATCTGTTTTAAAAATAAATGACAAGTAAAAATGAACAGAGAGAGTCATATTATTATAAAAAGTCAGTAAAACATAAATCTAATTTTATAGTACTAGTTTTTTAAAATAATATTTTATATCTAGAAGCAACAGTCTTATAATTCACACACTATTAATGTAATATGGTGGATACATGTTCCTTTCTTAATTAGAGATTTTGGGTTCGAGCTTTGAAATATAAAAAACATCATGATCCTACAAGATGTAAATTCAAAATAAAGTCAATACGTATGTTGGACACCTAATGAAAAAATAAACTATTTTTCTTTTGAAAGGACGGAGAATAAAAAGAAATGAAAAAAAGTGAAATGCAAAATGTTTTTCCATTTCTTTTTGTTTTTGTTTTTAAAGGTATGTAAATAGAATAACAAATAAAGTTATTGTCATATTATCTGAAACTCATGAGTTTAAACTATGAAATAATCTTTTGTAGAAATATAAACCAAAACTATATATAATAAATCTATATTATTCAATCATTCTTCAAGTCCTAAGCATACATAACAAAAGTTTAATACATCAAACTGTCCTCTCAATATAAACTAGTTACGAAGACTTCGTGTTGTGCACATGCTCAATAATTGTTGACAAATTTATTTTAAAGTGATATTATTTAAATGATATTAAATCATCTCATTAAGTGTAAAATAAATATTTAAAAAATATTATTGATATTGATAATTTTTAAACAACATTGATTAAATGATTTTAAATTTTACTCTAAAATACATTATACATATTTATGTAGTAGTAGATCATTTCTTTTTCTTTTTTGCGCAAATTTAATGTGATGAGGTTCATTAAGATGTCTAATTAATGTATTTTTGGTCATCGATAGTTAATTTTTTACTCAAAATAGTTATAAAATATATACAAATATTACTATCATTCAAAATAATAAAACTATAACTAAAGAATATGAATTTAAAACTAAAGGTTATAACTAACACAAATTATATAGTTTCAAAACAATTGTACACTAATTAAATTAAAAAATAATTTTAAAATCTTTTTCTTCAAAAATATCTTTAATAAAGCAGATACGTCGACGGAGACCCGTAAACCACATCATAAATTAATTGCTCATTTGAGTTGGATTTGTGAGGAAAACATACCACAAAGAATAAATCATGTGGCATATGCCAAACAACAGTCAATGTCAGTTCCACTTTGTGGACCATAGGGTCCCCCACCCCACCCCACCCCACCTCACACTATTTACTCCAATATTAATTCTTTAAAGGAAAATGGTAAAAAAAAAACTTTCTTTTTTTATAATAAAAATATTTTAATTTTATCATTCTTTATACTTTGTTGATCATTCTCATTCACAAATCGTCTTTATATTTTCTCTTCAAGACTAATGAAGTTTAATATAATGTATAATAGTGGGTATTTCAAATTGGGTTTAGCAAATAACAAAATAATTTTAAATTGTAAAAATGAAATGGATAAACATAAGACCTTATTAACTTTAGGAAAATCAACTAGGCTTACTATACAAGAGAAAGTGAAATTTACTACTCGTCACTCGACATATAATAGCAGTATAACAAATTTCGTGAAATTTCACAAGTGAGATCTAAGAAGGATTGAATATAAGCAGACCTGATTACTACCTCATGAAGATACAAATACTGTTTTCGAAAGACCATCTGCTCAAGTGCAACAAAACCAAGTGGCAGGTACATAGAAGACTGAGACATTGTAAAAAATATAGCAAGTAACAACATAATAATACAATAATCAAAAGATCAACCCAAACACTATCCGAGACCACGATCTTCCCATCTACTCGGATGCCACAATCAACAACAATGACAAATATATCCCTCTAGACAAAACAACACTATATTACTAGATGTCTCATAAAAAACCTTAACTCTCTATCCCAATATACATACATAACTCCCTCAAGACAAAACAACACTGTAATATTAAACGTCTCGTAACAAATCTTAACCTTCTATCCTAATATGTGTCTTTCACATGGCCGAATGTCTCGCAACATACCTAACCCCCCTCCCCACACACACACACCACGCCCATACACGCACCTTAAACCACCAAAGCAACTAACGTGGTCTCCACTCCCTCCCTACCCCACTTTCCTCTGTTCACTCACATTTTCCCTCCATTGTCTCTCTTCTCTCTCTCTCTGCAATGAATATACAGAGCAAGTCACGGCCAAAAGTAGGTAAAAAGCAACCAAATAAATAACAAAATTTACTTAAAATTAGTATCAGTTTCCATAAAATAATTACTTCTCCTAACATGTACTTTACTACTATTACAATCTACGCCACTTAATCAAAAATCCACCCACCCCCAGATGAACAAGAAAACAAAAGTAACCAGACAATACTGTACAGAGGAGCAAATAGCCTTTTTCTTTGTGTGTAGCAAAACCCTAAACTTTTTTTCTTTCAGATCTCTTCTGATTCATCAGTTATTTGAGTTATTTTCTTGATCTGAGACAACCCCATTTTCTTGATTCTACTGTTTTATGGTGCAATGTTTATGTTCTTTGCTTTAGTTTATTGAACCCCAAGAAGGGAAATGTCTGCTTCACTTGCTGCATTTGAGCGTCCAAGAATTGGTTCTTCTTCTGCGGTAAAGTTCTATTCTTTTTGCTTTTACTTATTTGTCTATAGGAAATAACAGTAAGTTCTGTGTACACTCTACCATCCTCGGACCTCACAATGGGGATATTGTTGTGCTTGCAGTATTTGCCTATCTTGTTTTGTTTGTTGGAAATGTAAGAAGTTTGGGAAAAAAAAGGAGAAATTTTGGGGTCATTTGTGATGTCAATGATAGTCAAATGAGCTCTGGACCTCACTTGTGGGATAACAATGGTTATGTTGTTGTTGTATTTGTCTATATTGTTTTGATGGGTTTTGTTTGTTGGAAATGTAAGAAGTTTGAAATAAAGGAGAGATTTTGGGGTCATTGTGATGTCAATGATAGTCAAATGAGGTAGGGATAAGTTCTCTGTATACTCTTAAGTCTACCCTCCGGACCTCACTTGTGGGATTAGAATGGGTATATTGTTGTTGTTGTATTTGTCTATCTTGTTTTGCTGGGTTTTGTTTGTTGGAAATGTAAGAAGTTTGAAAAAGGTGAAATTTTGGGGTCATTGTGTAGTCAATGATAGTCTAATGAGGAAAAAATTGTTCTTTTGTTGGGGGTGTACTTGTTTAACTCAATATGAAGATTAAGAAAGGGAAAATTTGGGGTCAAATGATTTTCATTCAGAAAGATTAGTTCTTTAGTTTGGGTTATACTAGATTTACTCAAAAGATTGTTCTTGGTCAAACTGTGATTAATAGGTAACTATAGCTAAATCTCAGAACTAATTGGGATGGATTACATGAATCTTAAATATCAAGTATGCTCCATTGGGCCATCTCATCTCAGTACTAAAGTAAATTGTCTTTTAAGGGAAACTAGTGACGAACAAGTGATTTCTTTTTTGCATTTCTTATATGCCAAACACCGGAGAGAGAGAACAGTGTGCGATTCGTTTTTGTTTTTTTAAATTTACACCTTGTCTACATCTGTCTCTTTTTGGTATAGGTATTTTCTATTAGGACTGAAAGTTATGGATTTATACCTCTGTTATCAGCTTGGAAGTCTACTACGTGGTATAGACATCAGAAGCTAACTTATGCCAGGATATTCTTCCATTAATATGTTGGGTTTTCGGTTTTCCACTTTATCCAATGGGAAATTTGGAGTGTAAGCAACACAATTTTTGTCGTAGTCAGAAATAACTTTTGGAATAGACTTTTTGCATGAAACTTGATATTTGGCAAGTAGAATTTCCATATGCTGTAGTTTATCTGATGGAGTGTAATTTGTGATGTCAAAGTAGATAGCAGAGTTTCAAAATCTACTTGAAATGCTCTAAAAAAACAAACCTTACTGGTAAAGAGACAGGTTTCTTGTAGATGTGTGCTAGAAAGCAGTGGATGATTCTCAGTAAAGAGTTACACTGTAAGTTGCTTTTAGAGAGAAAATGGGGCTTCCATCATGTGTTGGTTTAGATCCCTAGTGTGCCAAGAAAAGTTTGTATTTGCTTGATTGGTGGTTAGGGGTGTGATTCTAATGGCTGAAACTTGAGGAAAGGGAGGATCACATATATTAGCTGGTGCTTTATGTGTAACACTCCGTAGAGGATATGGATCATCCCTTACTACATTGCTAGGTAGAATCCTGTTTGTGGTGGGAGATTTTAAGATGGTACT